GATACCATGCTTATGGAATGGGAGGTGGATGGTGAATTAATAAAATAGACCAAAAAAGAGTGATCAGGCAGAAAGTGCTATTACAGAAGCCAAGGGAGGAAAGAATATAGCAGGAGCAAGAGGTGTTTAAAGTGGCAAAGTGATCAAGGAGAATGAAAACTGAGAAATGACTACTGGCAATTAGAAAGACTGCCAGTCACTTTGAGGGCAATATTAAAGGAGGGTAATGTGGCCAGAAGCTGGATTTGAAGGGTGGAGAAGTGAAAGGTGAGAAAGTAAAGATATGAAACGTTTTCCAAGTTTAGTTCTGAATAAGAGAAGAGATATAATAGATTGAAGAGATAGCTGGGCTAAGTACAGAGTTTTTTAAGGATGATTACTATTCCAGTTAGTGAATTCTTTTAGACTAAGTCACAGAGCCCTGGAAAACTATTCATCGATGTTGAATTGTTTCAATCCTGTCCAATTCTTTGTGACCCCATTTGGGGTTTCTTGGGAAAGATACTGGAGTGATTTGCCATTTCCTTCTCCAGCCCATTTTACAAATGAGGAAACTGAAGCAAACAGGGTCAGCCCAACTAGTACGTATCTGAGGTCAGATTTGAATTCAAGAAGCTGAGTCTTCCTGACTCCAGGCCCGGTACTCTGTCCATTGTACTACCTAGTTACTGGAAAACTTTACTAAGGCATTAAAGGGTCCAAAACCACATCACTAGATGGATTGCCTGCAACAATGAAACTGAGAGCCCAAGAAGCAATCTTCCCTTTTAATGGTGGATCAGAGTCTGGAGTGTTAGTGATTAGAAGGAATAGATTGTAGTTGAATCCTGAATCTATAAATCTGATAGGTTTCCTGTAATTATTGAATAGGAAAAAAGAATTTAGAACATTAGAGAACATCTAGGCTCTTTTTCTATCCCAGTAATAGGCTAAAAGGCAGTAGATAGGCCATACCTACTAAAATAAAAGAGTATTATGATTCAGTTACACATCTGAGAGACCGGCCAGGTGAAGTGTGCCAGGGTGCTGGCATTGCCAGGGTGATGGCATTGGAAGTGTCAGGATCTCCATGCCAAGACCATCCCTCTCTTTTTATTCCTCTCTGTTTACTATTAGGAGACACTCTGTTTTCCAGAGCTAAGTCCCAGTAAGCAAGCTGTGGCCTAAGCTTGGCCTAACAACAATCCTTTGTGCTTACCCTGTGGATGAACTCAGCCACAGCAAAATCCCAGAATTGTTTCACACTAGCACTAGGTGGTCTCTGAGCTTGGACAGGCACCTGCAGTACTCATGTCCTGGTCATGAAGCCCTACTATTAATCAAACTTGTCTCATTGTTGCTGTTACCCCTCATTGTCAGGGCCACTGCTCACTGTGTAGCCCCTAGTGTATTTATTGAGATTTGTCCACACTAAAGTGGGTCTCCTACTAAAGGGGCCCCAGCACATATGTCTAGTTTCCCTCCTTCAACAGAATAAAGAAAGCTTTTTGCTTATGACCATTTGATTTGATTTTTCAGAGTTAACTGTGGTTATGATAACCTGTGTGAGTTGTTTCATATTTTTAGAGTTAGCAGCGGTTGCAGAACGACTCTTTGGTCAGTTGTTTTCAGGGTTGACAGTTGGTGTCAGAAGTGAGATCAGAAAGGGTTAATTCTTCCTGCCCCATCCCCAGTGCGACCTGAAGCACTGTACCCTTTGAACTCTGCTCAATTCTCACTTGGAGAGTGGCAGTGAGTAATTTTTCCTTCTCTGATTCCTGAGCTCCTGTCTTTCTATTGAGCTCCACTCCCTTGGAGGATTGAAACTCTGCTTGTCCTCACTGAAGAGAGGATTAATCTGTCTCTTCTAGGTGAAGTCTTTTGGCTTCATGGATCAGATACCTTTGTTTTTGTTTTTCCTCTGGTTGTAATAGGAGAAACCTGTTAACTAAGAGTGAACCTCTCGGAAATACTATGGCTGCAATTTGTTTTGAGATAGTGGTATGTTTTTCTCCTTTATATTTCTAATGCTTAGTACAGAGCTTGGCACATAGGTAGCACTTAATAAATGCTTGTCGACTGATTCTGCTCTCTTCTAAACTCTCTTTATTCTAGCTTCCAATCTTATCATTCAACTGAAACTGCCAAGTTACTAAAGAACTCTTAATTGCCACATTTAGTGGCCTTTTCTTAGTCCTCATCCTTTTGAACCTCTTTGAAGCCTTTGACATTGTGTAATACCTTCTTCCCCTGGATATTCTCTATTCTCTAACTTTTCTAGACACTGCTCTCTCCTGGTTCATTTCCCACCTATCAGATTATTTCTTAGTCTCCTTTGCTGAATCCTCCTCTAGGTCACACCCACTGATCCTGAGTGTCTCCCCAGGCTAGGCCCTCTTTTCCCTCAATACTGTCCAACTTAGTGATTTTTTCTGCTCTTATGGGTTCAGTTATCTCCATGCAGATGATTCTCAGATCTGTTTAACCAGTCCTAACCTCTCCTGAGCTCAATTTCTTCTTCTCAAATTGGATGTTCCACAGGCATCTCAAAATCAACATTTCCAAAACAGAACTCATCATCTTTCTGCCCAAACCCTCCCCTCTTCAGAACTTCCCTATTACTGTTGAGGGCACCACCACCCTTCCGGTCTCCCAGGCTCATAATCTTGGTGTCATTCTCAACTCCTCACTTTCACTCAGTCCACATATCCAGTCTGTTTCCAGGTCTTATCAGTTGTTCCTTCACAACATCTCTTGTATACATCTCTTTGGCTTCACTCACATGGCTGCCACCCTAGTGCAAGCCCTTATCACTTCATGGCTGCACTTTCACTATGTCCTTCTCCTGGCCTCTCAGCCTCAAGGCTTTCCCCACCCAAGTCCATTCTCCACTCAGCCACCAGTTATCTTCCTTCAAATCAGGTCTCACCATGTTGTCCCCTACTCAATAAATTCCAATGGCTTCCTATTACTCTAGGATCAAATATAAAATCATCTGTTCTGCTGTTTTTTTCCTACTTGTTTTTTTAATTAAACATTTTCACATTAGGCATTGTAAAGAAGAATTAGAACCAATGGGAGGAACCACGAGAAAGAAGAAATAGAGGGAGAGAGAGAGAGAGCAAACAGTATGCTTTGATCTGCATACAGACTCAATTTCCAATTCTTGGCCACCACAAAATGAGCTGCTGTAAATATTTTTGTACATGTGGGTCTTTTTCCCATTTGTATGATTTCTTTGGGATACAGACCTAGTACTGCTATTGCTGGGTCAAAGGGTATGCACAGTTTTATAGCCCTTTGGGCATAGTTCCAAATTGCTCTCCATAAGTGCTGGATCAGTTCACAACTCCACCAACAATGCATTAGTGTCCTAATTTTCCCACATATTCTCCAACATTTATCATTTTCCTGTTTTGTCATGTTAGCCAATCTGATAGGTGTGATGTGGTACCTCAGAGTTGTTTTGTTTTGCATTTTTCTAATCAATAATGATTTAGAGTATTTTTTCATATGACTATAGATAGCTTTAATTTCTTCATCTGAAACCTACCTATTCATATCCTTTGACCATTTATCACTTGGGGAATGACTTGTATTCTTATAAATTTGAGTCAGTTCTCTATATATTTTATAAATGAGGCCTTTATCAGAGACACTGGCCATTAAAATTATTTCCCAGCTTTCTGCTTCCCTTCTAATCATGATTGCATTGACTTTGTGCAAAAACTTTTCAATTTGATATAATCAAAATCATCCATTTTGCATTTCATAATGTTCTCTATCTCTTGTTTGGTCATAAATTCTTCCCTTCTCCATAGATCTGACAGGTAAGTGATTCCTTGCTCTTCTAGTTTGCTTATACTATCAGCCTTTATATCTAAATCATGTACCCCTTTTGACTTTATCTTGGTATAGGGTATAAGATGTTGGTCTATGCCTAGTTTTTGCCATACTATTTTCCAGTTTTCCCAGTTTTTGTTAAATAGTGAGTTCTTATCCCAGTAGCTGGAGTCTTTGGATTTATCTAGCAGTAGATTATTATAGTCATTGACTAGGATGTCTTGCGTACCTAATCTATTCCACTAATCCACCACTCTATTTCTTAACCAGTATCTGCTCTGCTTTTTACACACCTGCCTTTTACAATCTGATCACTTCCTTCCTTTCTAGCCTTTTTACACTTTGCTTCCCTACATGTGCATTACAGTCCAATGACACTTTTTGCTGTTTCTTTGAACATGACACCCCCAAATCCCAGAATGCCTTTTGACTGGCTATCCCCTATCCCTGGAATGCTCCCCCTCTTGCCACCTCCTTGTTTCTTTTGCCTCTTAAGACTCAGCTCAGATACCATGTTCTAGAAGAGGACTTTCCCTTCTCCCTTCTTCCCTCAGAGATTATCTTCCACTTACCCAGCATATTTCTTTTAAGTACATAGCTGTTGACGTGTTCTCTCTCCTATTAGAATAGGGACTCCTCGAGGACAGAGATGGTGTTTTTGCCTTTCTTTTTATCCCCAGCACTTAGCACACAGCGTTTGGCACGTAGTGTTTGTAGACTAACTGCCAGAAGCCTTTTCTGGTTCTGCTTCCCTCCCTGTACACCTTCCCCCGCACCCCACCAGATGAACATGATCTCTTCCTTCTCGATTTTAAAAAAATAATTTATCTAGATCTTTCCTTTGTCTTTATTGTATTTTACCTTTTATCATACTTACTTGTTTATATTTTTATCTAACCCATTAATTTGTAAGCTCCTGGAAGGCAGTAACTGTGGTATTTTACATCTTTGTACTCCTAGTGCCTAGCACAGTAGTTTGCATGTGGATGACATTTAATAAATATTTCCTGAATTAGATTACATTATATTTTCAGTCATTTTGAGAAATTTCTGTGAAAACTGTTAGAGCTGCAATTAACGTGAATGTTAACATGAATGCTTCCATTAAAAAAAAAATCTGCCATCTACAAATGCTATCATAGATAACATAAATAGTCCTCTGACAAGATTTCTTCACATTCTTTTTATTAACTTTTTTTTTACAAATGACATTTACAACACATTTCAAAGAGATTTAATACCATATGTTCTCTTAGTAATTCTCTTCAGTCAACTATCATCTTCCAAAAATGCTAAAATTTAGCTATGGCAAAACATCTTTTATTACAGGATATCTGCAATGAAAACTGAATCTGTGGAAACTGAATTTAATAGTGTTGGTTCAAAGTCATTAAGATCAAGCATTAACTCAGTGTCTATACGTGTAAGACACTATCCTAGGCACTACTGAAGAGAAGACATGAATTCTCCTTATAATCTAACGGAGATCAAACAAACAAGAATGCTAATATTTTTAATTATTCTGTATTTTAGTTCCTTTCCTTTCATGTGGGTAATTTATTCTTTTCTGTCTGGTTCATTATTAGTATTGATTGTCATAGCTGAATCAATCATGTTGCTCTGTAGCAATTATTAAGACTGTTGAAATGAAAATATCAGATATGATACAGTTTATTCTTTTGGCATTTTCTTTTGGGCTCAGAGGTGTAGTTTGCTAGTTATTTTAGGGTCCAATGGAGAGTTGCAGCTCACTTCCACTTAACAAGTGAAGGTTTCTGGAATGAACTAAATTTTGAGGAGGTTTTTGAAGAAGAGGAGACAACTTACATATGTGAAGTTTCATGCCAATAGGCTTATAGTTGGTATTGCATTTCATTATTTTAAAATAGTAGGGCCTAACTCTATAGTGGTTAAAGTAGCCTGCATATGCCTCAAGCTTGCATATGCCCTCTGCATAACTAAACAACTGAAGGCACAGTTCTTTGTTAATAAAAAGCCAGGATATGTACTGGTGTATGACTGTTACAGGCCTGCAACATCTTACTTCATACACTCAGAGTATCAGTTCAATACAGTTTACAGTTTCAAGTAAATGAAGAGTCTGTAGTTGAATGTGTTCCAAAAGCACTATGAAAGCTGGAATAAAAAAAACCAAAAAACAACAACAAACCTCTTGTCAGACTGCTAGTCTTGTGAATTCAAACCTTTGATATTATAATTATTCAAAGGTTGAATAATTAGATGAAGTCTTTGTTTTAGGAACCTGTTATTTTAACCCAAATAGAAAAAAACTATTTTCACCAGCACTCACTTCTCACCTCCCAAAATGAAGTCCACTCAAGGCATGCTTGAGGTAAAGGGTTTTTTGAAACCGTACAATATGTTTATAAGAAATTTTGAATTGTTAAATTTTTTGAGAAGTTTAAGAAACCTTTCTTGCTACTAAGTATGCATATAGATTTTTAAGGGCCATATTTACAAATCTTTACAGCAATGTATAATCATTTTGGCTCAAATATACCATTTATTAATAAATTGTTACATCATTAAATGCTCCCATAGTGGTCTGAGTTAATGTATCCCCATATAAGCAGTTATTTCCCAGGGAGTGTACCTATTACATAGGTAATACCAGAATATCTATCTTTTCCTTCCTTCTTTCCTTCTTTCCTTTCTCGTTGATCTATGACATTTAGTAATCAGACGTCATCGTTTAAATTTTTTTTTAAATGAATTGGCTGACTTCCAAGAAACCACTGGGCAAAGTAATTTGTCTGAACCAGAAAGATTCTCTGGCATGACCCTACTGACCACATTCATACTAATGCTATTTAAGAAAAGAGCATTTTCCACACAACTAAGTTTATTAGGCTTATCTCGTATAGAAGTGAATTAGAACTGGAATTCTCAGTTCTTTTCTTTAGATTATATTGTATATTACTGTTTGACTATAAGTGTTCCCCTTTTATATCAACATATAATTTAACCTTATTCTAACCTGCTTGTCATTGCACAGTTGTAGATATATCATGTGCCACATCCCGTCCCACAAGAGACAGCATGGTAGAATCAAAGGGTACTTTCCACCACTGGATTTTATCCAGGCTTTGCTACTAACTAACAACCATGTGTGAGCCTGAACAAGGCACTTGAGCTGTCAAGGCCTCGGTTCCGTTATCTGTTGGATTAGATGTTCTCAAAGATTAGAGCTTCTGTTTCTGTTCTAAATGTCATCCTACGTCATAGCCATTAATCCAGTTCTAAGTCAGCATTATCTAAGTCAGCGTTCTACTATATATCAAAAGCACTTTGGTATTTTGGCTGCTCATCTAAGGAAACTTAGACCTCTGCAGTATACACTGAGATGACATCATCAATTTCAAATGTTGATAGAGAGTCAATATATGAATTTGTACCAAGTAAATTACTTGAATATACAATTAAAATCACATAATATTCAAAATAGATTGAACTATATTTACTTTCCATTTTTCTGGTCTTGTATTTTTCTTAAATATTCAGTTTTGTAAGTGGTCAAAGCGTATCTTCAACCATAATTAATTTATATATATCAATGGAATGTAGATATAGAGATTTTCAAAATTTTTTGTTACATTTTAATTCATGTTCCTTTCTCTCTATAAGCCCTTATAAAAAGAATACTTAAATAGGCCTAGAAAATTTACAAAGTGTGTACAAATACATAAATACAGATCTTGAAGACAGGAAAAAAAAACTCAACCTCTAAAGAAAAATGAATTAGTATTAATACATTTATATACTATATCTGTACTAGCAAAGAGGAATAGATAATTGAGGCAATTATCTAGATAATTTGGCCTAGAAAAAAAGCTATCTTTTGCTTGATAATTCACCATAATAAAGAGTCTGTCAATGGGTATCAGTCCCTCTTAATTGATACACTGACAAGATGGAAACTAGTTGGGAAAACCCCCAGTGGAATTGTTTAGAAAGAGTTCTTGTCAGGAAAAACCCTGTTGTGGTCTTAAGAAAACTTTTAAAGATGAAGACCTGCAATAATTTAGTCAAGTGGTTCAATGATTTAAATATATGTCCCAGCCAGGGCTTCTAATTAAACTGAAGGTCTCTTGGGATTTTCTGCCAATCACTTCTACTACTAAGAAGCAGTTTTTCAGTACAGGAAGGCTGAGTCAGAGGGGAAGCCTCAGTGCCAAGGAATTCTCTAATTATATGAAACTCAATGAGGGTTACCAATAAGGACTTTCTATAGGAAAGGGAAGGCAGAGGAAGAAGAGATTGGGAAAAAAAATAGGAGAAAACATGATTCTCAACTTTTTTGATAATATGCACAGAAATACTTAATATACAAAATAACTTGTGATTTAACAATAATGCAATTAGGATTGCTAAAAGAAGTAATTTTTACTTGTCACTTCTTTCTAGTTAACTGTAGAAATGGTTGTAAAAAATGCAGTAAAGTAAAAAATTTCTAATTATGATTAAAATGCACTTATTGGAAATGAGCTACAAGAAGACAACTAAGTAACTGTTTCGTGTGTGTATGTGTGACACATATACACATCAAAATTCCTGCAACTTTCACTAATGATATTGGAAGGTTTGAATGGCAAATGTTTTAAACAGTTTCCTTTTCTACAAATTAGTTTGCAGTATTGATATAGTATTTTATTAGAATACCCCTCTCTACATCCTTGTTGAAGAAATGAAGTCTTCTTGGACCTAATGATAAATATTTTTTAAGCTTAAAAGTTCACTCAACTAGAACTTATGACCAACATATTTTATATTTCATTTCTTTTTAAATTGTACTTTACCAGTCCAGGTGGTTCCTATTAAGAACTTCCTCTCTCAATGCAGATTGCTAGTTTCTCTGCAGTTTTTAGAACAGTTACTGAGTACATTAAGAAATTAAATGACTTGCTCAGGATCACACAGCCAGTATATGTCAGCGGCAAGACTTGACTCTAAGTTCTCCCGACTCCCAGGTTAGCTCTCAAGCCATTCCGCCCTACTGCCTCTCAGATTTGCTTGCACTGACAAGTCAGACAACAAACTGAATCTGGATCAATTGAATTTCCTCTCTTTGAAATTTCCAGGTAGATCTATGATTTCAAAAATGTGGGGAAGTTTAAAATATATTATTATTATCATATCAAAATGTTTGCTTATGAATAATTCTTTAATTTCCTTTCTTTAAAGTTATTGGGAATATAATATTCTGACTGTAATCTCAGTTATCTCTATAAAACATAAAAATTTTATTTCAGAAGCAGTGAACCAATAAAGGAAAATAATATTAATATAATATATAATTTTTTCACATTCAATACTTGTTAAAACATAGGAATGCATGAAAAATCTGGTCCCTTGAAAATGGACTTTTGTTTTAGTCCTAGTCAAAATCTTTGATATGTTCACTTGCTAAGTAAATATTGTACTTTTGTTTACAAATATTAATGTCTTCAAAATAATATATTTTCTGCTTTAACTATTATTATATTACTGCCTTAGTATTTTAAATTAAATATCTTATAAAAGAATGCAAAAACAATGATTAGTGACCCAGGCAAATCAATGATTTTTATGCTTCCATAACTATCACTTTGCTTTTAATGTTGGTATTTGTCCTAAAACAAATATGTGATCTACTCATACCCATTTTGGAGCTGCTTCTGAATTCAGCAAAGACATTGTTTCATAGGCTTTACTGCTTCTTCCGAAGAATGCACAATATTTGGAACAAAGCCACTTTTAACCCCTTCCCAACCATCTTGAATGCAAATTTCTCCTTTTTTAATAAGTTCATATATATCTCTTGTCAGGATTGTGAAAGATTCTTCAACATTTGTAGCATCTTTTGCTGAGGTTTCTATATACTTCATACCACAGGCTGCTGACATTTTTTCAGCTTCTTCTCTTGAAACTTGACGCTGTGACACAAGGTCACATTTATGTCCCACTAATAGAAATACAATCCGAAATGGCTGCACATACATTTTGGCTTCTTCTAACCAATCTCGCACATGTTCAAAAGATCTCCGGTTTGTGATGTCAAATACCAGAAATCCACCAACTGAGTTGCGGTAATAAGATCGAGTTATTGATCTGAAAAATGAATAGAAACTTGTAAACAACACATTTTCTTTTTTCTTTGCATTTTCAAACAGGGTAATGTGTTTGTGTGAAGAAATGTAGCACTGATGTCAAAGCTGGGAAATGGTACAAGCAGGGTGGGTGGGAATTCAGTCATCAAAGATGGGTCAGTTCAACTAAAGAAAAACATTCTATGAGGTAAAGAAGCAGGTGAGTTAGTTGCAAACTGACAGAATTTTGAAGGAGTAGTAAGTAGCAAGACAGATTCTTATTAATAAGCTCTTTCATGGTAATTTCACTTCAGATTGCCTAACTATTTTTCTTAACTTCAACAAGAAAGATCAAGATGAATAATCCAAATTCACTTTTCCTTTGACAGGGTGCCACCACTCTGGTGCAAACCCATGTACCTCACTCCTGGTCTACTGTGATAGCCTGCAAATGGGTCTCCCTGCCTCAACTTTCCCCATTTCAGTCTGTCCTTCACACATTTGTCAAAGTGATCTTCTTAAAACACAGGTCTGAGCATGTTTCCCTACTCTTAATAAACGCCAATGGCTCCCTATCACCTCCAGGATCAAAAATAAAATCCTCTGTTTGGCATTCAAAGCTCTTCATATGCTCCCCCTTACCTTTCCATTCTTCTTACACCTTACACCCTCCCACATACCCTACAATCTAGTGATGCTGGCCTTTTTGCTGTTCCTCAAACAAGATACTCCATCTCTAGGCTTTAGGCATTTTATTTTGCTGTCCCCCATGGTTAGAATGCTCTCTCTCTCAAAACCATCTTTTGGCTTCCCTGGCTTCCTTCAAGTCCTAGGTAAAAATCCCACCTTCTACAGGAAGCCTTCCCTGATTCCCCCTTGATTTTAGTGCCCTCTGTGTAATCTCCAATTTATTCTGTATATAAGTTGTTTGTTCATAGCTATTTTCACGTCATCTCAGTAGACTGTGAGCTCCTTGAAAGCAGGGACCGTCTTTTACCTTTCTTTGCATCTACTGCACAGTGACTGCCACATAATAGGCATTTCATAAATATTAACTAACTTCAAAACCACCAAGTCTCTTTTTCTTTTTAACCCCCTGAACCCCTCCCCATTAGTGTAAAATTAGACATAGGTATCAGAGGCTGACATACAGAGAAACTGGGGCATAAAAATTACCTTACTTATTCATTAAGGCAGAACTTGTCCTAAGTAGCACGTCAAGATAATAACAGGAGTGACCAAGAAGGGTTCTATCTTCTTAGAAAGGGATAGTGCAAAATAAACAAAGGGACACTATGCTAGTGGCCTCAGTTTCTCATTTATAAAATAAAAATAAAATAAGATAAAAGTTTAAAAAATTAATTTGTCACTATAAGGGTAGGAGTTAACTGCATACCCAAGCTGCCAAAGTCTTGATATGAGGCAGGCAGAACTCTTCAGAAATACCAAATTTTAATGTATTCCCTTAAATTTCTGTCAGAGCCCTTGGACACAAATCCTTTGTTCTGCTATGTAGGGAAGAAAATACTCTGGTTTACTAATGCTTCTTTCTAGCCTCCATTTGTATTTCAGAGTGTCTGCAGAAAGGCACAAACCAAAGTAAGGGGTTAGCTTTTTTAGGGGGAGGGAGAGATCAAGAATTGCTAAATCATGGTACCCCTCTACAATCAAGAAAGATCTTTTCATCCTCTTTAACAGACTGTGAATAAGACAGTGGTGGTTTAATTTTGTATTAAAATGTAACTTGATATTTTGTATCATAACATCTCTATATCTAGGCAGATCTATAATTTTTTAGAAAAACTAGTTAAGACTATTTCATGAAACTGAAAGCTTAAGTCTATTCACCACAGTCTGTAAAAAAAAAATAACTTGCCATCAGAGCAACTTTAAAAGGCACACTTTTTACAACTGAAAACAGCATTAGATATTTACATCTTAGACACAAATATAACTTACACAGCAGTCAAACCAATATTTTGTTAAGATTTTTAATTTTGGAAAGACATAGGGACTGTATTAGGACAAAATCGTAGCACAGTATATAGAGAGAGAGAGAGAGAGTGTGTGTGTATGTGTGTGTGTGTGTGTGTGTGTGTGTGTGTGTGTGTGTGTATATACACTACAAACAGAAATTCATTACTAATAATTTATTACCAGAGCTGGGAACAAGACATGGCTGACCTAGTTTCAGCAATTTTCCTACTCTGGATGCTGCCTCCACACATTGGGGCTGGGACAGGATACAGCCCTGCAAGTAACTTCTTCAAACCCTGTATCCAAAGGACATTTATGTGGTTTATTTGAGCAGAATGAAAACAAGTAAATGGGAGGGATTGGCAATTATGGGAGAAGGAATTTGTGGAAAGAGAGGCAATAGCGTGAGGTTGGAACAGGGTGAAAGGGAGCCCTATGGGCCCCTAAACAGTATGCCTTCACTTTGTTGGAAACTTCTGGAATGCGAGTTGAGTACTCCTGCATGAAGTAGAGTTGGAGGTAAGGGAAGTCATGTGGCTAATGTTCAGATGCCCTAGTCAGGACACTGGGTTCTCCCCTTGGTTTCTATTTGTTAGGGCTGCTTCAGGAACAGAATGGAATGATGCATCTTAGCATAACGATGCAGGCAGCTTAGAAAAACTGTGGACACAGCACCCAGCCAAAGTGGAGCTGACATCTGCATAATATTCTGGTGGATTTGAGAAATATACACATTCAATCCATAGCACAGGCCACACGTTTCACTTTCATCTGAATTACTTAACTAGCCCAAATTCACGAGACAATTAAGCAACTTCTGCTTTGCTTAACTTACTTACATGGAGATGTCATTTGCCAATCCTGTTTGAATAAAAAGCATAAACAGCATTATCACAGGGCCTATTGCAAACCTCTCTTCAAACTTCTATATAACATTCTCCTTTTCTCTCAACAGTTATCCTTAACTCCAACTTGGCTGAGAAAACGCAGGCCCTCTTGCTGCAAGCAACTCCTCTCCTACTCCATATGTAAAAGCCTCTTCACCCATCTCTTTCTCTTTGTTAAAGCCCCTTTACTTTTTTCCTTTATCCCAAACCCTTCCCATCTTTTCCTGAAGTTTACCTCTCCAATCATTCTCTCAACTTTAATCTCTCCTTATCTATAGGTAGAGTCCTTATTTGCTCCCTGCAAACATGCCCAGGTCTTACCTGTTTTAAAAAAACAAAATCTCCACTGGCCTCTGTCATCCTCTCCGGGCCTCATCTTAACATTTCTTTTCTTTTTCCCTGACAAACTGCTCATAAGAATAGTCTATATGCTCTGCTACCTCTACTTCCTCACTTCCTGCTAACTTCTTGCAGTCTAACTTAATTTTTGTTTTCTCCAAGGTTACTAATGTACTGGGGGGATTTGGTTCCCTTTCCGCTCACTTTACGTAATTACAGAAAGTAAGGGGCAAAGGACAGAAACATGTTAACCTAAGGGAAAAGATCAGTCTATATGACCTGTTATCCTTTACGAAGTGAGCCTCAGATTTAGGGGGGTGGGGGGAAAATACCTTAGCTACTTTTTTATGCCATTTTAATAAATGCCTTTGTTTTGAGTTAATTGTACTCGATGGCTGTTTGATGGCTGTTTATTAATCTAAGCTCATTAGTGGGAGCTCATGAGCTATAGTTTTAGGAGTGTGGACCCCCAGGCCATCTTTTGAACCCAAAAGAGCAGTAGTTGTCCCCTGGGGAACCAATCTGTAAATAAGTGAGTGATAAGTTAGGGAAATGGCCCAGAAAGGGTATTATAACAATTGAATCTCCACCCCTATATTGTCTACCTTTGTAACCTCACCTACTACCTGACCAATCTTCATGACCCCATTTGGGGTTTTTTTGGCAAAGAGACTAGAGTGGTTTTCCAGTTGATTTTACACGTGAGGAAACTGAGGCAAACAAGGTTAAGTAACTTGCCCAGGATCACACAGCTAGTAAATGTGTGAGGCTGGATTTGAACTCAGATCTTCCTGATTCTAGGCCTGGCACACTATCCACTGTGACACCTAACTGCTACTAGCCTAGCTAATAAATTGATCATGCTTAGACCACTATCTCTCAGTTTACCTTAATTTTCAAAGGTAACACATTCATTCTCTACAAAGCTGCCAGAATAACTTTCCTAAGGTCCAAGTCTGACCATATCACCCCACTACTCAAAAATCCTCAATGGCTCCCTATTACCTCCAGGATAAAATATAAATGTCTCAGCTTGGCATTTAAAGCTTCCCACAACCTGGCTCCCATTTATCTTTCTAGACCTATTTCATATCAATCCCCTTCATGCACTCTACAATCCAACAAAGTTGATCTTGCCATTCCCTGAACCTTGGCATTCCATCTCCTAACTTGTTATTTTTGCAGAAGCTGTCCCCCATATCAGGAATGCACTCACTCCTCATCACTGCCATATCTTCCTTCCAGGCTGAACTCAGGTACTACCTCCTATACTTATCCTCAGAGCCTAGCATAAAGCTTTGCTCATAGCAGGGGCTTAATAAATTTGTTAAACTAAGTGGAATCCCTAATTCAAATTTGACTTGTGATTCAATGATTCACTGAATCTAGTTATGTCAGTTGTAGAATGAAGGAGATTATAAGGAAAAACAATTAGCTTATCCTTCTAGTCCTTAATGATTCTGATATAAAAAATAGAAGGCAACAAAATATTTAAACACTGAATAAACTAATCTGAAAAAATTAGTTGTTAAAGAAAATACTTAAAAATCTCCCACGAGCTTGATAGGTAAAGACCAAAGAAGGTAAAAATGACTTAGCTGCCCTTAGTTGTTAACTAAGAAACAACCTTGTGATTGGTTAGTCGTCCTTTGTGTTCAAAGAGGACCAAAATGACATCACTATGTTGGGGTCAAGGTGCAATGTGTTTGGCTGATCAGCAAATACGAGCTCTACCACAGGTCAGGTACATGTGAATATGTGGAGTGGAGATGTCTCTAAAGTTGTACACTTCATGTTTCTTTTGAGCTACTGCAATTCT